ATTTATAAGTTATGTAACCATGACCAAATCTTCAATTTCTTGAGTTTCATTTTCCTCTTTTATAAAAGGAGAGAATAATGATAACAGTATCTACCACAAAGGACTCAATGCTATATCTTAAAGTCTCAGAAACCAGCAGCTGCCCTTATTACCCAAGGGTAAAAGTCAGATTGTGAAATCCAGCTACTACATATGTTGGTTATCCTTCATTTGAATGGCACTTATGGGGTCTGTATTACAACTGCTCTATGTAAAAGGAATGGATTAGTCATGCAGCATTTGATATTTGACTTCTAGAGCCTGGATAGCTGGAGAGGTGGTTGATGAAGAGTTAGAAAGGTAAGAGACAGGGGCTTTTGCCTCAATTACTGTTTTTCTCTGGAGTCAGCCATCACTCAAAGAAGGATGTACTATGAGAATCAGTCATCTCAGATCATACTCATAATGCCCACTGCTGGGTGCTAGACTTCTGGAGTGGAAGTGAATCCGAGACCCAGTGACTTCGGACCCTGCCTTATATGCCACTGTGTGATGATGTTGAAGGGGTTGGAAGAGGATGGTGATAGGAAGAGAAAGACAGTCTGGGAGACTAAGAGCTTCTCTCTACCTGACTGAAGAACAGAAAACATTTACAAAACAAATAGTCTCCAAGTTAATTATGGGTTTCCTGATAAAGCGGAAAACACCAAAATAGAGATATTTCTGCACGTTTTCCCCTGTTTGTTTACCTGCATATAGCCCCAGTTCAGGCTCATGTTACCGCCAACATCCTACCAGACTATTAACGATGGTCACTTTCTATTAATCATTGCTTGGGATCTTTTAAATTGTCCTGTGTTTCCTTTCAAAATTGTCAACAGAACAACAGACGTTGAGAACATGCTAAAAATTCTTAAGTCTCAATTTAGAATTCTAGAATTCTTAGTTTATTAATTCCTTCTGACATGCTCCAGATGTCTCTAGAGAAATTAGTAGCAGAACAGAGTTAATGTAGCTGCCTCACGGTGATGCAGATTCATTATGACTGATTGCTCACTTACAAAACTGAGCAAGTCTAATTGAGTTTAAACCCAAAAGGATTGCACCAGACCTGCAGCCCTGAGACACCGCCACCTGTCTAGTCTTCATCAAATTTAAGTGGTACAATATTTTTATAACAAGTACGGATTATTAGCTTTTGTGTATTTTTATCCATTGGAGCCAACTAAATGAAGACGAGGATGACAGATACCAGATTAAATCCACTCTCTTTGGGAGAGGACTAGGGAAACCAGAGAGATTGAATTAATTTCAGTATCTTTAGTCTCTCACATGTCAAGAGTCTTGTGGATCCTAGGCCACCCATATTCAGGGTCTACAGCTGAAGCTCAAGTGAGCCTTCTAGGTAAATTAAAGGGTATTGTTAGTTGAGAGATGTTGTTACTTCTTTAAGCATCTCTACTGATCTGTTCCCTCTTTTCCCACCACTATCAGCCAGATGCTCATTAGCTCTATTTCCACAACTGCAATGGCCTCTGAAACAGTCTCCTTGGCTCACACCATCCAATTTAACCCAACTAGTATTTCTGGAGAGGAGGCAAGGACATGATGCTGGTGACTTCTCTGATAGCTTTCAATCCTCTCCACTCTCCTCTCATTCTTTACAGCAAATTAGGAAAATATTTCTGAAGACTAGTTTTCATCCTACCACTCTTCTGCTGAAAACTTCCAAAGGCTTCCACTGGAAGGAAATCTACACCCTCATATGCCTTACCTAATGAGGCTTTTCTCCTCCAAGTACCCTCTGAGATGGGCCCTCCATCCCAGCTCAGCCATCCCATCACTGGCCAGAGACCTTGGTAATTTTGAGCCTGTGTCCAGGGTTTTCTAACCAGAATTCTCTTTTCTTCTCATTTATAAATGCCCTGCATGCTTTAAGGGTCAGCACACCTTTGGCTGTCTCAGTAACCCTTTCTCAGAATGCACTGAATGACATTTATTGCTCCTCACAGTAGCAATTTTGCTACTTCATTATGTGTATATCCATCTGCAATCATACACTTGTGTTCACTTTGTTACCAAGCATGATATTCTGCTTACAGTAACCATACTGGATAAAAAGTACTGCCCAGAGGAGTTTATTTTGTGATAGTTAATCTTTTTCAAGGGAAATTTGGCATCAAAGCTGTACAAGGTATATAGTTCTTAAAAGGGCACCATTTATTTCTAAACAAAAAAAGGGATGCCATTTATTTCTAGGGTTAGTATTAGCAATTCTAACTTTAGAAATAAATTAGGGAAAACTCAGAGATGCTTGTGAAGGGAGACACGTGCTACTGAAGATGTTCACTGTTGTGCTTTTGTACAGTAGAAAAGGTGGAAACCCTATAAGGGGACAGTCAAGTGAGTCCTGATATGTACCCAGCACAGCTCACAAATTACACTGTGGGCTATTCACTAACATGAGAGACAGTTCATAAAGTATCACCGAGTGCACAAAGCAGGTGATAAAAGAATATGTGCAGCTGATCCTCAGATAAGGTTGGTTTGTTCAACGTCCATTTGCTGTAACATTGATGAGAAAAAAGATCAATTGGGGCCTGTTTAATTTTAAATTTTTATATTTGTTTCCTTACACTGTTGTTCCTTACATTCGAGTTCTCCCTCTGGTCTGGTCTCTGTATTTCTGTTACCGTCACAGCACCCTGATCCATCACCACAGTCCCTTGTGCTCATCCCTTCCTTGTTTTGACCCCTCTGCCTCCCCCACCCCTGCTTTAGCCTCAGATCTATGGTCAGTTTTCAAGTTTTGTCTCTTTCCTGACTGTTTGGCTCCTCTATATACTGCACACAAATGAAACCATCCAATATTTACCATTTTTCTTCTGACTTATTTCACTTAGCATAATCCCTTCTAGCTCCATCCAGGTTGTTGCAAATGGCATGACTTTATCTTTTCGCTGAGAAGTAATGGTGATGTTCCTGTGACCAGAGATACAGTGCAGGGAAAATGTAACTCTTGCTTCTATCAACTAGCCTATGGTGAAATGGTTTCTTATTGTTATGCTGAAAATCATGGTTTTCAAGAATGTAGCAATAACATTAAGTGAGGACACACTGTAACAGGAGTATTTGACTTTTATTAGTTAACTAGATGAACACTGGTTATCTCTCAGGGAAGCTCACATCGGCTTTTTTCCTTTGGAGTTTTCTATGCATTTAAACTTTGAGGCACTGAACTAAAGTATTACTCATGTGTTTAATGGTTCCTTTAGATGGAAATTTGCTCTTTTAAACCACAAATACTGTCTTCGATGGATGTACACACTCACAGGGCAGTTTCACACAAGTCTATGTTTAAGTTGGACTTCAGTAAAACTCAACACCAAGTGAGACACATCCCGCTGTCATGGAAACAATATTCACTGAACTAGGTCTTGAGAAACACAACCACATTGTGGTGCTACAAAAGAATTCCTTCCAGCGCCCCCGGGGCAGTCATTCATTTTTCTTGACCCTCACTTTTCTACTATACAACAGAAAATATTCTTCTTTTTCTCCTTCTACCCCCATTACAGCTTATAAAAAATATACAGAGATCAATCAGAAAGTACTTCTAAAAATAGCAAATCTATTGTAAGAAAGGCAATCAATCAGTCTCAGGTTGGGATTGTCATCAAGGCAGGAGAAAGCACCTCTGACATCTCTAGCCTCTGATGATATTACAGTCTTAAATCACAAGAGGTGCTAACTGCATTGAAGTGCAGAGTCAGAGATGCCTGATTTAATAGCCATGTGTCTTTGTTAAACAACACTTCAAAAATATAAAAACTGGGCCTCCCTGGTGGCACAGAGGTTAAAGACACAGCACTATCAAGCTATCTCCAGCCACTGCAGCACAAGTTCAATCCCTGATCCCCAGCCAGCCAGGGGGTTACCCACATGGCGCAGCAGACCTCTCCTGTCTCTCCCACTGCTCCCCTCATTAGTGTATTTCAGTAGATCTGCCTGTTCTGTTCCCTGCTCTTCTCTGGTGAATCCTCTTATACCCCACACCTCTGACCTACACCCCAGTTCTTCTATGCATAAATAAATAAATCTTTAAAAAAAAGAAAAAATATAAAAACCATTTCAGGAAAAAATTCCTGACATTCCTAAGCATTCTGTTCTTTTAAAAGTATTTCCCACAGGGTCTCCCCGGTGGCGCAGCGGTTGAGCGCTGGGTTGCGATGCTGCCCACAGCCTCTGCAGCGCTGGTTCGATCCCCGGCTGCTCCCCGGCCACCGGAGGAGGGTCCCACATGGTGCGCAGACCTCTCCTGCCGCCCGCTGCTCCCCTCAGCAGTGTCCTTCGGTCCTTCTGCCTGCTCTGCTCCCCGCTCTGGCTCTGGTGAATTCTCTCACCCTCCCGCGCTTCTGACTGTACCCAGTGCTTGTATAAATAAATAAACAAAACAAATAAATGAACAAAATAAATTAAAAAAAAAAAGTATTTCCCACAATCCTTTGCAGATTATTGTCTTTTGCGTTTTTTTTTTTTTTTTTTCCCCTAGAAGAATAGATAGCACAGAAATAAATTTTAACAAAAGAAATATGCTGGGCTTCAGATCAATAATTTACAGACAGAAAATTTAAAGCTTTGACAAACTCATTGGGAAAGGAACAAGGTGCTACTCTTCCTCTTGGCAAAGATTTTGATGTTGAATCTAATTCGCAAAGATGGCAAGAAATCAGGAATTAGTCACATAAATACCATGTACTTATTTACAGATACGCACAACTGAAAGCTCTTGGCAGGTGACTGGAGGTGCATATTGAAAGCTTCTTAACACAAACACATACACCCACATCACAACTGCCTGTCCCAAGACACAAACAGAAACACCCTGATATCCCACAGAACACCCTCACCAAAGAGCTACATCCAGCCTCAGATAAAAGAAAAAGAAAAAGAGAGCAAGAAGCTCTCTTCCCTTGAAGGGAAGGCAGGGCCGCCCGCCCCCAGAAGACATCTTGACTCACCTGTTAAGTGGTTGGCAATCCTGGCAGTGGGTTTGGGAGGCAGGGCGGGGGGTTGCTTGAGAAGGGACAGCTGCTTCACTGGGGTCTCCTCATGGTCTCCAGGGAAAGCAGCAGGTTTTTTGGGGGGCAGTAGCAGGACTGGTTTGGCTGAAGGATCTTGGGACAGGAGGACTCCAGACTCACTGGCAGAGGGACTCTCTTCAGACACTGAGGGGACAACCACATGACACACAGGAGACATTACACAAACGTAATGCAGGTGGGGCTGGTGGGGACACAGGACAGAAATGAGGGTTAGCCACACAGCACAGCGCTGACTGCTCCAGGTTGTCACATTCATGTTAAAGAGGGGACAGCAGAAATCCAATAAAGTGGAGGGTGAGGGGCACAGCAGGGGCAGAGAGAGAGGGCCATGGAAGAGTGAAAGTGAGAAAAAGGAAGAGGGAATTTTCTAAAAAAAACCACCCCAAAGCTTTGGAGCTTCAGTCTCAGCATCTACATGGCAGAGTCTTGGGGGCTCTCGCATGTGACTCATGGGCCCCAGGTAGCAATCCACAAACAGTAGGCATAGTGAGTGAAGGAAGGAAAGGCTCCTCTAACCAAACCAGCACTGAACAGCAGGGCTCTCCTCGGGCTGCCTTCCTTTTACTGGGGAGGATGAGAGTAGAGCTGGAAGGCTTATTTTGGCTGCTGGGTTTTACTGAGTCCCTGCTCCCAGGTCTGGGACATCAGGGAACAAAAACAGCCAAGAAGGCTGACAGCAGGCTGGCAGCCCCTCACACCAGGGCTGCTCCAGGGACCCTGGCAGCAGCCTCCACATGGGTGTCTGCAGTTTTAAGGGCACCTTCCTGTCCTCGGCTCTACCTGTGCTGATGATGGTGAAAGATGCTCCAGGTCAACGCCTGTGGTGTCTTCTCCCTTTCTTTCTCCTCTCACTTGCTTTGCTTTTTCCATTTCTCTTTGCTCTGAATTAAGTCTGACTCCCCTTTTCTCCCACCTGGGGGAGGGGAACCAGCTGGCTCTGGTTAGGCTCTGTCACAGGCTCTCTTGTCATGCTGGCAGCCTGCTGATGACAGACTAAAACTCTGATGTTGCTGGGATTAAACTCACTAGAACAGTCAAATGTGTCTGATTCCAATGTCACAAGGAAGACTGGATTTAAAAAAAAAAAAACAACACAATTTACTGCTTTGGTAGAAGAAAAATCTCAACAGCTTGGGGGCCGGGTGGGGGAGGGAAATGGTTGCATGTTCTCCTTCCCATCATAGAACACCTCTGAGTGACTTCTCCCCTATTTCTCTCTGATCTGGGCAGCTGTGTTCATCAACAGCCTGCAGGTTGTCTTCCTGAGCACCACAGTCTCCTCCATCTCAGGGGACACTATTATTACTAGTGTTGGACACGTAGATGGAGCAGGCCTCAGGGTGAAGCTTGGGAGCTTGTGTGAAACTCCATCTCTCCCATCCTCCCACATGAGCTCTTGCACAGGGTGGGGAGAAGGAACCCAGACTTCAGGTATTACCAGAGGTCTCTTCTTCTAGGCTGGTATCCTAACAATAAAGACCACTCCCTGCTGGTTGTCAGGAGATTCTCATCTACAGGCCAATGGGGACTACTCTGCAGACTCCTCAGGGATGAATGCTGGCTCCACAAGGAGCTTTGGCCCGAAGAAGGAGATGGCTATGAGATGTATCTACCATCAAGATACAATTTAACCAGTACACTATGCACAATTTAATGGACAATTAACACGTTAACTGATTTCATATAGTATATAGTACAATTTGTTAAACTGTTGTCACCACTAACTGGTATACTGGGACCAGGACTAAGGAGCATGCCAGGGGTCTTTAGAGTAGGAGAACTGAGTAAGTATCATATAGAGGCATAGAATTCTTTTGCTTTATGTAACATAAATTAATATTAGAAAACAAAACAATGACATTTAAAAACATCAATATTACAAAAACAAAGCATATATTCTTTAAAGAGATTAAAGCTATTAAACTTCCAAGCTATTTTTTTAAACCATTATACAGAACAATGTTTTCATACCCTAATTATCAGTTCCAGGAGGTCCTTATGATCAGGGTGTTTCAAAATAGCACCCTCAAGACCAATCAGACCAAAGGTCCTGAAGGCCACATGCTGGCACCTGTTCTGTAACGACGGGGCATTACCTGTCCCATCCATGATGTCTGAAGGTTGGAGCACCTCGTACGAGCAGGGATCCCTGGGCATTGGGACTGGCTCCATTTCGGACAGGGCAGGCAGAGACAGCTGGCTGGAGCTCAGAGATGGCCCGTTTTCCAAGGAGTCATCGTCATTCGATATGGACAGCTCCCCATCTGTCAGAGGAGAAGAGACTGCGGGTTAGACCACACCGCCTTCCAGGGATGGTGTCCTAGTCTGCTGAAGGAGGCTAGATGTTGTTGAATGGTCTTTATCAAGGTCAGTGTATAAAGTCTATAGTTTTCTTTTTCTTTTAGCATTTATATTCATTTTAGAGATGGAATCTAACTATCAGTTTCTAAAGATCTTCATCTTTCTAACCATAATCACCACATTTTGTATGTACTTTTCATTGAATGTAAATTAAATTAACTTTCTTCATATTTTTTGAAAGTTTGGCAAGCAGGATTCAGAGGCTGGAAGCCAGGATTAGGAGTTCCTACTTTAAGGATGAAAGGGATTCAAATCACTCAGAGAGTACCAGGAGCGTGGTACCAAACTCCAGTTGAAGGATGCTGGGACTTGCCAGAATTCTCCCCGTGCCCACCCAGGATCACGCCTTGTGCGGATGCAGACTTTGATCTCACTTAAAGCTTAGCAGAACAAGGGGCAGCTAGTTAACACCACAGTGGAGGATCAAAGGCTCACACACAATGGCCATTTCTCAAATCAAAATTCCCCCTGTGTGACTTCATCCTCGCTCAGGGGAGTCCTAGATAACTAGCCATTGAAGTCAAATTAATTTTTAAAGAGGACTGAAAGCTGTTAGAGGAAAAAATATCCAGATGAAAGACTCTAAGTTATGCTTAGTCAGAAATACCAAAACTAGGAAAGCAATTACCTGCCTTAGAACTAAAGAAAGATTTCCTTGTAGAAATGAAGCAGTGAAACGATTACAAGGTTACTCTGATATGAAATAATCCTTTATTTTCGCTAGATTCCTCCAAAGGTTTAATTTTATACCACAATGAAACGTGGTGGCAAAGGATGCCTCTGCCTCCTCCCTTCCCCGCAATTAGAAGTGGCACCAGGAAATGTATGTTCAAGAGAGTGATCTACAAGCTGCCAGGCTTTAGACAGCATGCTGCTCAAGGACATGTGATATTTGACCTGAAACTTTTATGAACATAGAAAAAATATAATGGTACCAAAAAAAAAAATCATCTGAAGCAAAGGATATAAAGCACTGAAAATTGTGTCTTTTTTCCTTTTCACTTTGTTGGTTATGTTTTCACACACTGAGTAGTGGCTTTTACACACTGAGTAGTGGTTTTTATACTTGTAATTAATAATATGATTATTGTCCTCATTAATAAGAGCAGAGGAGCAGCTCAAACTCTAGGGCCAATGCTAAGAACATAGTTAAACAGAGTGGGAAGGGCTTTGGGTGTGCGTGTTAATGCTTTAATTTAACATGTTCAAACTGATGCTATGGGAAGTAGCTCTGCTAAAAGCTCCCAGTTGTTGAAGTAATAATGCAGCTGTCATTCAGTTAATATATCTCCAGGAAATCACTTTGATTTTTGGTGTTCCCAGTGCAATAAAAGTCTTGGATAAGATAACCAGAAGAGGTGGGATTTAGAGCTGTTGCCAAGTTCTGCTTCTTTGGGGCAAAAATGCAATGAAATGACTGCTACATTTTAATAGTTAAAAGTACCACAGAAGAACATTAGGGAGAAGGCAACGACTGTAGCTGAATTACTTTAGACACACTTTGGATCTTGGTTTCAGCAAGGTAGCTGGCTTCTGCTGGCAGCTTTGCTAGTAACCAAGAAGCAATATTAGTCACTCCTCTTGAAACTTATTAACTCTCAAAAAATTTAGCTCCCTATACATTAAAAGTACCTTTGATAAGTCGAAAAGATCAAATCACTTCAGAGAGGAAAATGAGAATTCCATTGTCATAATTATATTTCCATTGAAAAATAAAACTGGGAGAAAAAAGAAACGACACCAATAATTCCATACCCCTCCCTTACAGAAAATGTCTATCTCTGTACATATTTTCTATGGTTGTAATCTTTTTGTTTTTACTTTTATAAGCATTATAATTTGCATAATTATCATTTGAATGGTCATACTGGATGAATAAATAGACATTTAGATAGCACCCAATAGTAGGTCACTGAGGGGTTTCCTTTGTTATTATAAAGTGGTTTTTTCCCCCAAAGATTTATTTATCTATGCACACACAAGCTGGGCACAGGCCAGAGATGCAGGGAGGTGAAAGGATTCACCAGAGACAGAGTGGGGAACAGAACAGGCAGACTGACTGAAATACATTGCTGAGGGGAGCAGCAGGTGAGACAGGAGAGGCCTGCTGCACCATGTGGGTAGCTCTCTGGCCGGCTGTGGATTGAACTTTTGCTGCAGAGGCTGCGATTACTTCACAGTGCTGTGCTTAACCCCCTGTGCCACCAGGGAAGCCCCACCTTTGTTATTATAAAAGAAGAAAACTCTGCTGGCCATTTTCTACATAAAATCTTTTCTGCAATTAGAATACTCCTTCAGGAGAGAGTCCAATAAGCAAGCCTTATGTGTATTAATATGTTAATATTTAGTGACCCATATCTGGTCTTGTGAAATCGTATTTCTAAAAATTTTTCAAGTCACACTGCAGCAATATACAGACCTCACACATTTCTTAACTTTTGCTCATTTATTCAATATTAACAATGATATCCTGTTTCCCTCCCTCTCTCCCTCTCTTCTTTTCTCCCTGCCTCCCTTCCCTCTCTCTCATCTATCTCTACAAACCCAGCAGAAATAAATTAAACCATTTAATATGTACAACACATTCCTTATTACTATCATTTCTTATAATTTTTGATCAAGATTGGTAGTGGGCAAAAGTGAAAGGCATCTGATTTGAATTCATATAATATGGAGATAGAATGTTGTTGTCTCTGTTAAGGAATTATTACTTTAAAACATTTATTATTATGACATTTTCAAACACATATAAAAAAAAAACAGTCATCATTAAGCAAGGGCATTAGCTGGGAATTACCAATGCTTGGTAATTCCAAGGCTGATTAATTTGATTATATAGGTTCTCCATGTCTTTACATCTTACCAGCACCATTTATCAGCATCTTTACTAGCATTATTTTCAGTAGAATTATTAGAAGAACTTTTCCCTCCTAAGAAGAGTGTACCGTACTGATTAAGATGAGTCTTGTGAATGCTTAGTGTCTTCATCTGTCCAGATCAAGGATATCTCTTGTTCTCATGGGTGAGAAAGAGCTTCCTGAGTATTTGAATTTATTTTGATGTTTTATTACATAATTTTATGAAATGATTTTCACTACAGCACTCTATGACTCCAGTTATATTTCATAGCAGAATTAGTGAAGTGTAAATAGGGAGAAGAGAGAAGACAGCAGAGATCAGATGGGTTGAGGAGGTGATTCTCAGACTTCAGCAGGCCTTCAACACCCAAGAGGGCATTTGAAAATGCAGATTTCTGGGTGCCATTTCTAGTGCTTCTGACTAGTAGGTTTATGGTAGGACTGAGCACGTCTATCATGCTCTTTATTAATGGAAGCTTCTTTTGCTGGTCAGGTTGTACGCTTTGAGAACCAGTGGATTGTAGGTAAGGAATCAGAGTGGCAAGAGAATCTGGAATAGCAACAGTGGCTTGTCATGATAAGGTTTAGGGCAGGTAATGCTCTTTTGTGGCTAACACAGAACACAGGTGGTTGATTTAAAAGCACAAGGACAAGAAAGCGGTTGCATTGTCCAACCATGGAGCATACATATGAACTTGTCAGGAAGCATGGGGGACTGGAGGGAGAAGTAGGAGGGAGAAGAAAGGCAAAATGTGAGCCAGAGGCAAGGATGTCTAACAGGTAAAAATGGCCACAGAATTGGTAGAGAATAGAATGCAGACCTGGTATAGTCAGTGTTCTGAATTTTATATTTGTTTTTTCAGTTTTGTGGGTTTTAAATGATGAGGTATAGAAAGATTAAAATCTTAGATCTAGGACTGCTTCCTGGAAACTGCTGGCTTTATTCTTCCTGGGAAGGAAACATTTTGCTCTGAGAGAGCTCAGGGTACTTGATTCTTTGAAGTTGAAGATTAAAAACGTATCAATTTTTAATTCTGAAAACCAAAAACACTTCAATATAAACTTAAGCTCACCACTGAGTCTGATTTTCCAGGATATGAATGATATATTTCCAGTTGGATAAAAATGTCCTCATTTAAAAATCATTGAAGGAGCCTAAAGAATGGAAGCGCATCTGTGCACTGAGCCACACTGCAGTAATTTTCACATGAATCAAAAAACTAAAATAAAGCTTTTAAACTAGAATAAACACATATTTATTTCTTCAGGTTGTATAAGAGGAAAGTCAGATGGGTAGTTCTGATTTACTCATAAAACTTTTGTATTTTTAATTTGCGAAATAAAGTGCTATGCCCTCAGTACAAGAAAAGAGCAGCTTCATGAGGAATTACGAGCTAAACAGAGCTAATAAAAGGATAACTGTTCCAAATATAAAGAATATTTGTATAAATAAATAAAATCAAGTCCTAGGTGCCACTTTGAAAATACATAGCCTTGCTAGGAATGTAAGAAATGCAAATGAAATGACCAAGTGGGTGACACAGATACATAAAAATGTGTTTCAATAATGTCAAGTATAAAAGCAGGACTGGAGAACAATATGTACATGCTGATTATAATCACATCAAAATGAAATAGGTATGTGGGTTGGCAAAGTTCTACAGTGAATTTGGCAAGACATAAGTAGAGCTTAATGATCACAAATTTTTTCTTATAAAGATGCTTATTTATGTAAAAATTTAAAATAGTGCATGCTGCTTTGTTAAATAAAATGAGAAAACAAGAGCTTTGTTAGAGGGGGTAAGCCAGTCCTCGTCCTCCCCGTTCTGGTTTCTTGAGGAAGCTCTTTCCTAAGTTCGGCTTCTTACTCTCTCTAGGGTAACTCATTGCTAAAATATTGTACATACCATTCCCTGCTTCTCCACTGGTGGAATAAGCCTATGAAAATGGTGAGCACAGGGGTGTACCAACTTTCTTCCCTCACTGCCATGGACCAGTGCAGACATGGACTCAGACTTTCGTCTGGGTGGGCTGCCCCAAGGTCC